CTTCCAGAGAAGGTCTTCTGGCTATGAATTCCCTCAGTTTTTGTTTATCTGAGAAAGTCTTTATTCCTCCTTACTTAGAAAAGGATTTTTTACATCTAGAATTTTAGATTGGTCCTTTTCTTCAACACCTTAAAAATTTCACTCCATTCTTTTCTTACTTGCTTAGTTTCCGATGGGAAATTCTCTATAATTCTTATCCTTGTTGGTCTATAGATAGGGTATTCCCTCCCTCCCCTTGGCTTCCACCCCCTACCTTTTCTCAAGATTTTCTCTTTGTGTTTTGTTTTATGGAGTTTAAGTATATGATATCTAGGTGTAGATGTTTTGGTATTTATCCTACTTGATGTTCTCTGAGATTCCTGGATCTGTGGATGGTGTCTAATTAATTTTGGCAATTTCTTGGCCATTATTACTTCAGATATTTCTTAAGTTCCATTTTCTCTTCTCCTTCTGGTATTCCAGTTCCATGTGTCATATACATTCAGAATTGTCCCATAGTTCTTTTGTATTCTATTTTATTCATTCTTTTTTCTCTTTACATTTCAGTTTTGAAAGTTTCTATTATCTTATCCTAAAGCTGGCTGTTTCTTTCCTAGGTTGTGTCCAGTCTCCTGATGAGCTCATCAATGGCCTTATTTCTATTATAGTATTTTTGATATCTAGCATTTCCTTTTTATTATTCATTAATGTTTCCATCTCTTTGTGTATATTACCCACCGTTCTTTCATGTTGTCTACCTTTTCCATTAGAATCTTTAAAATGTTAATTACATTTATTTTAAATTCCTGTTCTGATCACTCCAAAATCTGATTTGAATCTGATTCTAATGTTTGCGTTTTCTCTTCAAACTTCCTTTTAGTGTGCCTTTTAATTTTGTGTTGAAAACTAGACATGATGTATCGAGTAATAAGAACTCAAATAAATAGGCTTTTAGTGTGAGGTTTTATGTTAATTTGGTCAGAAGTTGGTCTGTGTTTAATGTTTGGTGAATCTTTAGATGGCAGAGCCATCAAATTCCTCTAATATCCTTGTGTTTTTCCTCCCCTGTCTTTTTGGGCATCTCAAAGAACTCTTCCTTAGTTGGAGTTTGTGTCTTGCAGCTCTTTCAAATGTAGTCTACTATTATACTGGAGCCCTATTGGTGTGTTTAAGTATGGACGAGGGGAAACATTCTATACTCTTATGATTAAGTCACAGCCTTGTGTGACTTAAGCATCTGTGTCCCTGGGCTGTGACCTTCTTAGATATTTCTTAGCTTTTCAATCCTTTTAGGTGAGACAGGATGACTAGAAGGGGCTGGAGTTGGAAAATGCCATTCTCTCATGTGGTAGAAGACTCTGAGCTTTTTTCCTGGAGAGGATGCCATTTTACAGATAATGCTCTAGGCATATTTTACAATGGTTACTTGCTCTCTTCTCATGCCAGAGCCATGAGGGGATTTTTCTTGTCTCTTCACGGTGAGGATCTTGTGGGGTTCCTAGAGGTAAAACACATGAAAGTCTGGGGGTATCCCAAAGACTGTGTCCCCCAGGAGTTTCTCATCTTCAAGCTAGCCCACACTCAGCCTCCAACAATTCATCAAAATGACCATTTAAATGTTTCTACTATTTACTGGCTCTAGTGGCTTTTGTTCCAGGTAAGCAGATTTTGGCTGTGACTCTCTGGATTCACCCATCACCCCGGATTTCAGGGTGGCAGTTTGCCCTGCAAACTCAACTCTCTGTTGTGTCCAAGAAAAGTCATGGATTTTCAGTTTGTCCAGCTATGTTCTTACTGTAAGAACAGATGTGATGACTTCCAAGCTCTTTACATGTCTGAGCTGAAACTGAAAGTCCTAGAACTTCTTCTGTATGTTAATGTCTTTGGTTTTCTCATTTCTCCTTCTCAGTTTTTAACCAGATGGGTGTAGGTCAAAACTGGTACAAAATTGTCATATTAGGAGCAAAGAATAAAAATCATAATTTTTGTGTTAAATGGTATTGAGAAATGGATATATGAACTGTAGATGTTTGGGTTGGTAGATAGCTAGATTAATGAAAAGGTGTTTATCCTTCTATCTTTCTTATGATTCCTGGACAATTCATAGGTATTGCTGACTGAAGAATATTGGGATATATCAGTTTAGATGAGAAATTGGCAAACTTCCTTGAAAAACCAGATAGAAAATATTTTAGGTTTTGCAGGTCAGACTGTCTCTGCTGCAGCTGCTCAACTCTGCCATTATAGTGCAAAAGCAGCCATTGATAATACTTAAGTGAGTGTGACTATGTTTCAGTAAAAGTTTATTTACAAATATAGGCTATGAGCTGGATTTGACCTGGGGGCCATAGTTTACCAACTCCTGGTCTAGATCAGTGATAGTTAATTTTTATTCTATAGCTCTGGTCTAGTGCTGATTATCAAGAGATGCTGGCCATGTTTTATTTGCATATATTCTATTATGTTCAGATATTGAACCATGTTGCGATGAATATTTTAATATATTAGTTAGAAGGGTTCTAAAAATTTTAAGGTTTAAGAGGCACCATAGGTCAAGGCTCAGTTTATGAGAGTGAAAACAATCTCACGTTTGCCCTGAAAATGTGATTCATATTGATTCAGAATAATAATAAAAAAGTTCCCAGTAAGTGTGTAGTTTGTTGGTTTTAAATTGTCTATTTTTATTACTTTACATAATCAGTTAGGCATGACAGGTATTATGAAAGTGAGTGACAGAAGCATTGCCCAAGATCAGTAGATGGAAGGGCCAGGACTACAATCCAAAGGCAACCTGACTTCTAGGGCAGAGCTCTTTCAACATAATATATTGTATCACTCATGTCAACTGGAGGTGGAGTCAATAGATTGAATATTAGCTTTGTTCAGAGGCTAATTCTGGGACATTATTCTTAATAAGAAAAGTAGGATTATGTTCATTATTTCAAATAATTCTGTGCTGGGCATTATTTCAAAGCATTTGGGAAGGCAGAAGTAGATTTATAAGTTACTAAAATAAATCAGACAAACAATTTTGCATAAAAATTATGGAATAATTCAGTTGAAAGGGATATAGAGTGTTTAATTCAATGATCTAACTTTAGAGGCAAATAACTTGAGACCCAGAGAAGCTAAGTGACTTGGGGGCCAGTGTAGTTTAATAAAAGAGCATGCAGTATATGTAAATTAAGCCATCATGCTGTATGCCTTAAACTTGTACAGTGATGCATGTCAACTATTTCTTAATAAAACTGGAAGAAAAGAGCATAGTACTGGAAGTTCATAATAGTAGTAAGCTAGAGCCACATTGGGAGAGTCAGTTGTTAAATTTTCAGGAATTTTTGTGAGCCGGTTATTGAGTATATTCATGATTAAAAATATATATAAAAACTCATAAATTATATTAAAAACAAAGATTTATATGATCAAAATGCATCACTTACTGATTATTTTACTATATATTTCTGTTGTTTACGCTCTTGAGGTTATTTATATCTAGTGTATCTGTATGGTGGAAGTGCTGTGTAGTGGTGTCCTACCCAACTCTGTTCAGTGAAGTGACATTGATAGCTTTAAAATGACCACAGGGGAGTATTTACACTACAGAAATTGGCAGATGCCACAAATAACACTCTCTCATCCCTTCCCCACTGCTGCCATGCCTCAAGCTGGTTAATTAATATTTACCAGCATATCATTGGCCATGACTTCTGTGTTATATACTTGTCTGTTTATGTGCCTGGCTTTGCTGCAAGACTGTGAGTTCCTTGAGGTTGTTCCTCATATCCCTGGTATCCAGCACAATGCTTGGCATATAGTTGGCAGACAAATTTTTGTAGACTGAATGGGTGGACTTTATATTCATTCAGTCCTCGATTCAAATCCTGGCTCCATGTGACTTTGTGTTTATTAGTAAAATGAGGATAATAATACCAGTGTTGCATGATTTTTGTGAGGATTAATGAAAAGATCCAGATATCTGTCTGGTACATAGTAGGTGTAAAAAAGTAGTCAACATTTATGATTATAACTTAAGAAGAAGGAGACATAAATGCCATTAGGGTCCAGACTTAAATATGCAGAGAGCTTTGTATTAAGTATTTGACTACAAATTGGATGAGAATCAAGAATGTGGCAGTGTTATTTTTGTGAGTGTACATACTTCTTCTCCTTCCCACACAAAATAATGGGATATATTAAAAGGAATATGATATATAAGAGGCAGGAAACAATCCCTCTGTTGTATTTGGCTTTGTTCAGGCTCTTATTACAGTATCATGTCCAGTTTTACATTGCTCATTTTAAAGAGGATGTCAAAAAACTATATGTAGCATGTCCTGGGAAGAACCAACAACTATGATTAAAGGGATAGAAAATAGGTCCTTTGAGGCAAGTTTAAGGAATTGAGTTTGTTTATTCTGGAAGGGAGATGGTGAAGGAGTTACTTAACTATTTTCAAGTACATGAAGGGTTATTATAAGGAGGACACTCTCATGTTGTTCTGCAAATGCACAGAGGACCGAAAGAGGAAATCGACTTATTTCATTTAAAGAAAATTGTGTTAAACACTGAAATTGACTGTCAGGGGATGTCATGGAATCTCCATTTTTGAAAATATTTAAAAAGAGCAGCAGCAGATGGTTATTTATTGAAAGGTTTAAATGTTTGACCTCATGAAAGTGACAGGCAGAATTGTAGACCTTGAAGCTTTTTTCACCTCTATGATATGATTTTCTTATATTTTATTGAAACTTACTAAGCATATCCCAGATATCTCATTGGAAAACCACTTATAGTTTGATAAAATTATTCTTTAGCTTGCATTGTATCTTAATTGCTGGATTTATCTTGAATGAAGACATTCAGTATTATCTGTCTGCTAATACCTAAATTGAAGTCAGATACAAACAGTCCACGTTTGTACTTTTTATACTCTATTCAACATATCTATTACGTAACAGTGTTCATTATTAATATTTTTTAAAGTAGTATATTATAAATATTCTGTAACTCTTTTGCGACAGGGAATCCTCTTGGTATATGATATTACAAATTATCAAAGCTTTGAGAATTTAGAAGATTGGTATTCTGTGGTGAAGAAAGTGAGTGAGGAGTCTGAAACTCAGCCACTGGTTGCCTTGGTGGGCAATAAAAGTAAGTTATTAATGTTTATTTATATATAGGAAACTTTATTTGTCTATCCTGTAGTTTTTATTCCTAAAAAAAAATGATGTTTGGAAACATAAATAGATACTGTTTTCCTGGAGTGAGCAAGTTGAGGAGAAAATTCCTAAAGATGTGTACAGTCTTTTCAATAACAGTTTGATGCTTGATCTGTCGTAACTGCTCTGCCACTTTGGCCAATTCCTTGTTAAGGTAAGTTCTGTTCTGCAGTGTGTGTGTGTTTTGGCTTCCTGTTGTCTAAGGAAGCAGCGTGGACTATTAAGAACAGCAACACAGCTGCAGATTTTATGATATTACACTGCAGCTTCAGCTCTGCCCCAGAGATTTTGAGAGATACATTTCATTAAATGATACCCTGTTCTAGGGAAGGAAGCAGTGTCTGCGTGGAATTTTGTGTGCATTGTTCCTTGCTCTCAGCGCTCATAAACTTCCTTTTCTAAATTTTTGAGGTTTGTTCCTAAATACAGATTTTTTTTTTGGAGAAAGAGTATATTGGGAGAGGAGTGGTGCTTGGTAAAAATGATGGATAAGTAATTTTTGAGATCTCTCTCTTGGGCTATGATATACAGCATATAAAAATTATAAGACTGAATTCAGTACAGGATTATTATTTGGTTCATAGTCCTGCAGTGCATTTACCCTGGTAAAGGGGACCTTAATAAGAGTTTTCAAATATATAAGATATGATATTACCTAATCTTCTACAACCTATTTGAGGTCAGAAAAAGAGAAAATGAATTTAAATTATACCATGGAGAATTCAGGTCAGGAACTGTTTCCTGACTATAAGCTTTGTTAAATCAATACCCAAGTATACTACCAAGAGAATTATCTTCTCCAAAAGTCTTTAAAAATGCAGTGCATTTTTTTTTTGTCTATAATTGTTTAGGAAATAGTACTTCCTGAAGGACCAAGCCATGATTTCTTCATTATGTGGTTTTGCACACTTAGATGAACATTTAATAAATCCAAGCCTTACTTCAAAACCATTACAAAACAGGTGTGAATATCATTTCTCTGAAGAGTTAAAAATATAAATTTTATAATGCTTTCTAGAAAACAGTATCACATATCACAAAATGGATGGCTTGGGTAAAAGAAACATTTTTTTTTTAAAGCTTTAGTTAAATTTTGCTCATCTATTTTTTAGATCTAATTGAGTGAATCAGATGCTTTTCAATTCATTGAAATCCCCCTTTACAAATCATAAGTTTTGATGAGCTTAGGTTCTGTTTCTGAGTGCAGCTTTTCATTTTAGGAGATCATTTGTTAGTCATTCGTCATGTCACCAAAGCATTGGTTTATATTATAGTTAGATTTGTGCTTTATTGGAGGTTTCCCGTCACCTTTTGGGAAATTATAGAGTAAGGGAGTGATGGGGGTTGGGATTTGTTTTCATTTCTTTCAGGATATAATCTAACTACATCTGGAGTAATGGTGTAGTGGTGCACGATTATATACATTATGTTATGTGTTTATGCTATCCTGTGAGGCCTCCGCCATTGGTCACTGTCTAAGACAGGATGTCAGGCTAGATGGGCTATTGGACTGTGCTGGTGATGCCATTCCTGGGTTTCAGAAACAAACATTTATATAATTATATGAATTTATGCACAAAACTGTTACAGTGCTATATTTGAGATATAATTGCATGAAAGTCAAAAGAATTTTTTCACTTTTGGTTTAGCTCTAACCCCTTTCTTGTATTTATAATACTTTCTTTCAGAATATGATCATATAATAGAGTATGCAGACACACAGAATGTTACATGTGTAAAATTAAGTGATTAGAGATGAACATTTTCCTGGATATTATTTACTGCTCTCTGTCACCAGCCCAGTTTCATATGATCAATATGATCATGTAGTGAATAATCTTACAATTTGTGTTTACAAGTTGATGTTACATTATAGTAGTATGCACTCATTTTCTTTTTTGGGAATATATTAAAAAGCAAAGACTTTTTTTTTGAGCAACACCAAACTAGTTAAAGAGATTTTATTAAGAGTTTCTATATCAAGGGCCTCATGAAACATTGGAACGTTTTCCAAGTCAAGGAAGCAGCTCTGAATCTGAGAATGTTCCAGATGGCAAGGCTTTCACAGTTGTTTCATCTGACTTTTTTCATTCATCAGATGAGTGTTATATTTGTTCAATCTATTGTTTCTTTTTATTCCTCTTTTTCTGCTTTCTCTTGAGTTAATTGATCATTTATTATTACATTTTATTTCACCTATTAACTTATACACATTATATATTTATATATTATATTTTTAGTTGTTTCCTTAAGATGTTCACTATACATCCTTAATTAGTCTACCTTCAAATAATAGTATATCTCTTCGTGTGTAGTATAAGGAACTTAAACATTAGTGTTTAATTACCTCCCGCCCCAATCCTTCGTGTTATTATTGTCAGATATATTTTTACATATTCTATAAATAATTTTTGCTTTAAACAGTCATTTAGCTTTTAAGAGCAATTAAAAATAAGAAAAAAAGGTACATTTTATTTTACATTTACTTATTACATTGCCAGCACTCTTTATTTATCTGTTTAGATCCAAGAGTCTGTTTGATAGCAGATTCTGCTTGAAGAACTTCCTTTAACATTTCTTTTAGAGTAAATCTATTGACAATGAATTTCCTCAATTAAAAGCAAAGACTTTAGATACTGGTTAAAGGCAAAGCAAAAGAAGCATGATGGGAAGACGTTTGAAGCTGAATTATTATGATCATTATCTATACAGAGTCATCATGTGCCTAAATGATCTTTTAAAAATTCGTTATTCTGTCGTATTCTTTGCTTGAATAGAAAGCATATGTTGAAAAGAAGTATGTGTAGGCTGTGAAAATATTGGCAGCAGTAGCCAACTTTTAGCCAAAGTTTAGCAAAAAGATGGGATACAGAGAAAATTTCCATACAAAGAGTGTGTGAATTTGTTCCATAGTAAGAGCTTATAATTAGTAAGTTATAAAATCATGTACTTTTTATTAAAATATGGTAAACTCTCAGAAATTTGGGCTGAGGATTGAGAATAGTTTTAGGTAAAGATGAATTACAGGTTTATTTTTGTAAAAATTACATTTTATTATGGTTTAACTAGTGTAGGTTAATGATATAGGCAGCAGAGGAAGAATAGAATTGATAATTAGTAAGTTAATTATTTCAGTATATAATACTTAAAAGTATATAATATATTTGACCCTTGAACAACACAGGGGTTAGGGGCATAGTTCCTTCCTGCAGTCAAAAATCCACGTTTAATTTATAGTCATCCCTCTGTAAACTCTGTTCCTCCTCATTCACGGTTCTGCATCCATGGATTGAATCAACTTCGGATCATGTAGTACTGTAGTATTTACTATTGAAAAAAAAAAGCTGCATGTAAGTGGACCTGCACAGTTCAAACCAGTGTTGTTCAAGGGTCAACTGTACTTAAAACAAATTAATTTATTTTATTTTATATTCAATTCTAAAAGGTTATAAAACAGTAGTGTTATTTCTTTGTACTGTTTAAGATTTTAAATGAAGTATTGAGTCGTGGTTAAGATCAGAGGGTTTTAAATTTAGACAGACTTTGCTTACAAGCCCAATTTCTTCACTTATCAGCAGTGTAACATCAGACAAGTTATGTCTTTAAGTCTCAATTTCTTCATCTGGAAATAAGGATAATGGTTTCTGTCTGATAAAGTTGGTTTAAGGATTAAATGAACTATTACATAAAAACACTTGGAACACATCTCCTGTACACTGTAAGTGCTCAGTAACTATTAGTTATTATTATTAATCATAATAGCCTTTTAAAAGCATGGACTATAGTTTCAGTTAGAAAGATCACAAATTACAAATTAGTACAGCTGACATAGATATTTTACAAAAGTAGCCTGAAGAAAATGGTTCCTAGAGAATTCCTTTGTCACCATCTTATTCCTTGCTTTTTACCACGATAGTTCTCATGCTATGTGTTGGGTAGGGCAATTCATTCAGAAAACATTGTCCAGTGCCAGCTATGTGTATTCAGCTAGCCATTGTTAATTTGTGCAAAGGGTTGAACCACAGAGAGTGCTTAAGGAGTGATTGGGACCTGCTAATATGGGTCTTAATTTTATTCTTTTTCTCTACCATCTTCAAGTTTTCTAGGAATTTGACTTTCTTTTGCTTTGTCTGGTTGTTGGGATTAATAAATAAAATTATGTTCAAATTTCCATGGAAGGCCCTACTTTTCCCTAGTGAGGTAAAAAAATATTCCTGGTAGTAACTTTCAAAATGAGAAAGAGGGAGGATTTCCCTGGTGGCGCATTGGTTAAGAATCTGCCTGCCAGTGCAGGGGACACGGGTTCAAGCTCTGGTCCGGGAAGATCCCACATGCTGCAGAGCAACTAAGCCCGTGTGCCACAACTACTGAGCCTGCGCTCTAGAGCCTGTGAGCCACAACTACTGAGCCCACGTGCCACAGCTACTGAAGCCTGTGCACCTACAGCCCATGCTCCACAACAAAGAGAAGCCACCGCAATGAGAAGCCTGCGCACCACAACGAAGAGTAGCCCCTCCTCACCGCAACTAGAGAAAGCCTGTGCACAGCAACAAAGACCCAATGCAGCCAAAAAAATAAAAATAAATAAATAAATAAATTTATTTAGAAAAATGGGAAAGGGGTAAGTCATCTACTTATTCTGTGTGTTTTGTGGAAGTTCCATTGGAGTTTGATGATGTCTGCAGCCCCAAGTACAGTGCGTTGTCTGATCGGCTATGAATATAGCCACATAAGCACCTGGAAACAATTATATTACCATCTAAGGCAACTTCTGCACCAGGCTTAATACCTGATTTCCTGGCCTTGAAGGTCTTGCTCTCCCAGCATCGGGGCACTCTCACTTGATCAAAGCCTGCGCTGCAGAACCTAGGGATTTTCAATATATGACCACTTATTACAGGTGCACCTGACCATGGCCCAACACACAATCAT